AGGAAGGAGCAGAAAGGGTCAGAAATGAGCTGGAAGGGGCAGAAGGAGCACAAACATAAAGTAGGAGAATGAGCAGGAAGGGCCTGCAAGGAGCAGGAAGGAGCAGAAAGGGTCAGAAATGAGCTGGAAGGGGCAGAAGGAGCACAAACATAAAGTAGGAGAATGAGCAGGAAGGGCCTGCAAGGAGCAGGAAGGAGCACAAAGGGACAGCAAGGAGCACAAAGGTAAAGGAGCAGAAAGAATCAGAAGGAGCACAAAGGTAAAGTAGGAGAAAGAGCAGAAAGGGACAACAAGGAGCACAAAGGTAAAGTAGAAAAGGGAGCAGAATGGGTCTGCAAGGAGCAGAAAGGGATCAGAATGAGAAAGGAGCAGAAGGGCGCAAAATAAGCAGAAAGTAGCAGAAAGGTAAAAGAGCAGAAGCGGCCAAGGATAGAAAACAGTGTCAGAAGAAAAACAAAGACTGTCAAATGAAGGAGAGGAAAAGGAGATTGGAGCAGGAAGGACAAATGAAGTGAACCCTCCACTTTATTCTGGACACCACATCATAAGGCTTTGGTACCTGGGCCTGGCAGGGAAACGCTGGACCTACTCATCTCCAAAGGTAAAAAAATATCGGGGGTTAATGTGTTCACTTTTATTTACTGAGTGTCAGGAAGCACAGAGTGCCGTTGGGTAGGGGTGTTGCTGATTGGCTAGAGCGGTCAGCTGGCACTCTAAGCCAATCAGTAGCTCCCCATTCATAAAAAAGTAAAAATATTTTATGAACCGGGAACTAGCGATTGGCTTAGAGCGTCAACTGTCCACTCTAGCCAATCAGCGGCACCCATGCCTGACGTCAATCTGCACTTCCTGAACTCTGTTTCAGAAGCCAAATACCACTGAGCGACCTGGAGCTGGAGGAAGCCTTTGGGGTTAAACCATTTGAGAGCGATTTAACCCCTTAAAGGAAAGCGAGCACCCAGGGGCTTCCTGGCATCATAGCATTTTCATTTAGGTGAAGTTGTTATGGTGACCAGAAATGTCCTTTAATTTGCTTAAAGGAACACTATAGTGTCAGGAATACAAACCTATATTCCTGACACCATAGTTGTGAAAACGCTATTCACCCTGGCTTTATGTGATAATAGCTATGCACCTTCCCTTTCATGACACTGTCAAAAAGGTACCAAGCATGGATGTCATTACAATTATGCCCCCCCCTGGAAAAATTCCTGCGGACGCCCATGTGGCAAATCCCTCATGATCCCCACATTCACATGTCTAGCGCCCACTCCCCAATCCAAATGTACCCGGGCAACGGGCAGGCGGAACACAGCGCCCCCGGCTACTCTCACAGCCACAGTGTCTCCGGTGTGCTGGTTCTCAGACACCAAGTGCTTTTGAAGCAATGTCATGGTTGCACCGGTATTCCGCAGACCACTGACCTCCTTCCCGTTCACTTTGACGAGTTGTCGGTGTTGTTGTCTATTATCCCGGTGGGCAGCTTGGACGGGGTCTGCCTCATGTAGAATGCCCCAACATTCCTCCTCCTCTACGCAGTGTGCAGCAGGCGGATGGTTGCGCTGGTTTCCGCTGGTGGGTCTCCTCCAAAACTGGGCCTGGTTAGCTGTATTCAGCGGGCACTCTGGTCGTTTGTGTCCTAGCTGCTTGCACCTGAAACACCGGATGGGCTGTGAGTAGTCCCGTGAATTAAACCTTCAAAGCTTTTTTTACAGCCACATAATCCCTGATCTCCTCATCAGGAGACGCCCGAAAAGCGTCACTGGCCTAGCTGGATAACTTTCCGGAAAATATAGTGACCCAGTCTTCTGCGGATACCTTGTGCATTGCCGCTCAAAATCAGCAAGGTACCCATCAATCTCTCCTTCTGTCTCAATGAAGGATTTAAAGGCTGCAAACTGTACCTTTCTTTTTTCCACCGGGATTGCTGGGACTGGGGCTGCTGCAGCACCGCTTTGGCGGATCAGGTTGGCCTCCACAGCGTCCATGACCCGGCTGATGATTTCTGGAGACGGGTTGGGACCATAATGAGCCAGTCTGATTCTTACCTCCCGGTGAAAGCTTGCCTCTTCGGGGGTTCTATCAGCTGTGCTGGACCCATTGGTTCCTTCAGCCCCTGGTACTCCATCCATTTCATTCAGCATTGCGATAATCTCCCTCTTCCTGAGATTACTGGCTGGTCTGCCTCTTTGTTCCAGTAGGTCTTTAAGGGTAGAACTTTTCAGCCTTTGGTATTGTATTTCCATGAATTCTGGATGTGTAGTTGTCTCTCTGGGCGATGAGGATCATCCCGTCAATTGCTACCAGTTGTTAAGACTCTCCCAGCTTATAATACAACAAGAAGTGTGCACAATATGGAGGTGAATTAATAATTAAGCTTAAATGGATGAAACCGCCATTTAGCCGATCTTCCCCCTTTCAGAGACACAGGCTCTATACAGCAGACCGCCAAACTCCCAAACGCAGTGCAAGGGAATGCGGTAAATCCATGAATAAAGAATCAGCCGAACTCCTTCCACGGCTAAAACAGGCGAAATAAATACTTCCAAGTAGCAATCCCCCCAAACACGAGACCAAGCTCCGTCTTGAGGGTAAAACAGGAATCTGCTTTTCTGAGGGCTACCTGCCTGGTATTTATGCAGGTCTCCCACCTGGTGGACACTCCTCTAGGGGACCAGATGGAAGACTGGGACACATATCGTACAGTAGCCAATTACAGTGGCTTAGGTTTAAGCACTCCCCTTTACACCAGTAAATCCCTCCTCTCCATCCTGGAGATAATTGGGAAGAAATCCAATTAGCTCCAAGGATGGAGGCAAATCGCCATTTTACATGAAACATTAAAAATGCATAAAAATACAGGACTATACAAATATCGAATACATTGGATTTGTGTAACGTATCCCCAGATCAGATCCCCAGCCTGGATCTGAGCGCACATTACTACTGAATAGCGCTCAGATCCAATGCACACAGTTCAATCGCCATGGAGTCAAAGTCTTTCACACTGTCCTTTCGGTATACGATTGACTCCATGGGATGGCTATCAGGGTTAAGTCTATTCGTATCATCCAAACTCCCGAACGGACCAGTGTTCTTATGCCTCTACGAAAAAGGAGGGCGATCGGCAGTTTCAGCGTTGTTTGGTAGGAAAAAGTGTCCTTTTATAGTTCCAAAAGTTCCTCATTGAACACCGCTGTTCATTCGCGTGTTTTAAAATGGCCGCTGCCTCGTGGTCGGCATACGAACGATGACCACCCTGCATACGGTTAGAATGAAGAGGTGTCTGCGGTTAGCCACAACGTTCTAACTGGGGCCAAGAGGTTAACCAGCAGCACACTTCTCTTCTGGGTGGCCGTCCGTTCGGTAGTTTTGTTCGGCATAATCCTGCCATAAACGAACAGGGGTATACGGACAGGTAATTCCATGAATGGAGGTAAAACAGATGAACCAGCAATAGTAGATATACAGATGGGTCTGTCACAGGGTGTTAATCTGCTAAATAGTACATTTTGTGGCCTGCTCTCTTAATATCTGAGAGTCAAATAGAAGCGTCTAATACTGCGGTTCCACGCATTTGTAAACATTCTAATTGTTTTGGTGATAATCTGCTGCTTACATTGGAGTTTTAAAAAGTAAAAAATTTTTGGGTGCTAAATAGTATATTTGGGGTGTTCACTTCATATCTGAGCGTCAAATCGAAGCGTAATTTTGATTCAAATTTACTACATCAGTCACTTGTAACATTGTTTCACAACACGTATTACTCAGATGTGATAGAATACAGATTGATATTTTCTACACTAGAACCCAGCAGATAACAAGCTACTATATTTAAAACTGGTTGCAAGTGGCAGCGTGGCAGCTGCACGCTTGACTTTTCTCAGTTCATGGGCAGTTATCAATAGCTAAGAGGTACTTAAAAAATATTGCAATTCGGGGGCAATACCCTCACAAGTCAAATTGAGAGGTCAGTTTATAGGGAAAACTGTTGCCTGGATACAGTTCTAAAACAATTCCCATATGTCCTTTGCAGACTTTACATGCTGGAAAAACACAGGTGCCAACTGCTGTGGCTTTCTGCAGTGTGCATACCGGCAAGGAGGGCAGGGTTGAGGAGTGGGTGGAAGAAGATGATGTGGAGGATGATGAGGTCCTAGACCCCACATGGAATCAAGGTCATGCGAGTGACGTGTGCAGTTTGGAGGAAGATGCACTGGTCACACAGAGGCACCAGCACAGCATAAGATGGAGCATGGTGCAAAAGTGGAGTCCCCTAGCACTTGTCGGGATGTATAAGCTCGAGAATTACCAGTTATCCAAGTAATATATGTAGCGATCAAAGGATCCATAATAGAGTTGAGCGATCCCGAACTGCAAAGTTTGGGTTCGTACCAGATATTATGATTCATTCATAGTTTCAAAGTCAGGTGGGCGGTCTGGTGACCAGGACCCAGACACTGTCTGGGCGGCGGTCGGACGACCGGGACATAGTATGCCTGATGTTGAAGTTAGGAGTCAGAGTGTGGAATGGATTAGCAAGGTCTGGTGCAGGGTAACCACACGCCCCCTGGTGTTGAGCACCAGCGTTTGTGTGGCCACATACCAGAACCCTGATGCAGCTTCAGTATAAAGAGTACTGGATACCAGAAGCAATCACGAGACTGATCTGCAACTTGGAACAGGATGTGACATTCACTGTAGCGGCTGTGCGCGCATTTGGCGTTGTCACCCTGCTGCTGCTTGACTGTCTGCACTGCAGCGTAACTTCGGCATTTACGCTCACCGCCTCATGAGACTGTGCGAGCAGCAGCAGGCGATAGTGGAGTTTCAGCTGCAGCACGCATGGGTCAGTGGTTCTGCACCAGACTTCCTTGCAGTTGATCAGAGTTAAAGGATTTCTAGTGGACTCATTACAATTACAGGGCCTCTAAAGAGTCCTGTATTGTTATTTGTCGTCACTACCTTCCCGAATCGTGAGTGGGTCATTTGTGTGCCTTCTGCCTTCCTTGCATGTGGTAGCCATATCTCAGGGTCCCTGTACGGAATGGAACCCTGATTCCCCCGTTACCCGTGGTCACCATGGTAGGTGCAGAAACTGGCATTGAACGTTGATATGGATGACATCCGCATGCAAAGTCGCCGCCACGGGGATGTGCAATTGGCCCAAGGTTCTCTAGTGTCAATGAATAGCCTGCGCAACTATAATATCAACAGCTACTCTGCGAAACAGAGTTGTCTTTTTTTAGATGTCCCAATATTTTGGGGGCTACCCCAATTAAATTTTTATATATATATATATATATATAAAACAGTGTTGGCTACCTCATCCTCCTCCTCCACCGCCACGGTCACCACCTCCTCAACCTATGGGTCATGTAATATAAACTATGTACACAATAGCAGAGGCTTGTGAAGGCCTTTTCTCCATGCATCAGGAGTTGAGCTCAGTTTGAACAATGAAAGAGAATAAAAACAAAACAAAGAGTAAGCGCTACTAATATTGGGCAGCAACCCTTTAAGGGAGTCCCTCAAGAACCCTTAGAAATAACACATAAAGAAAGAGAGAATAAAGGGTAAGGGCTGCACCAACGAAAACAAGATACAAAAGGAGTTACAAATAGTCCAAATAAATCAGTACAATAAAACAGAAAGTCTTATCTAAAATGTACTCTTGGAGGTCATGGAATCTATCCGTACTTGATCCAGAGTAATAGTCCTTTAATATCCCTCCGTGGGGATCAGATCGTATATAAAAAATAAAAGAGTAGAGAGCCAAATAGTGTAAAATGCTTCAAACGATAAAAGTGAATAAAAGGTTGAAATAAAACTCACATTTAAAAGAGTTAAAACTCTTTTAAAACTGGGAGGCTACCACAGCCTCCCAGACACTGTTCAGAGAGGTGTACTGTTTTCCCTCCTTGTAAATCTCACATTTGATGATGGACCACAGGTTCTCAATGGGGTTCAGATCAGGTGAACAAGGAGGCCATGTCATTAGATTTCCTTCTTTTATACCCTTTCTTGCCAGCCACGCTGTGGAGTACTTGGACGCGTGTGATGGAGCATTGTCCTGCATGAAAATCATGTTTTTCTTGAAGGATGCAGACTTCTTCCTGTACCACTGCTTGAAGAAGGTGTCTTCCAGGAACTGGCAGTAGGACTGGGAGTTGAGCTTGACTCCATCCTCAACCCGAAAAGGCCCCACAAGCTCATCTTTGATGATACCAGCCCAAACCAGTACTCCACCTCCACCTTGCTGGCGTCTGAGTCGGACTGGAGCTCTCTGCCCTTTACCAATCCAGCCACGGGCCCATCCATCTGGCCCATCAAGACTCACTCTCATTTCATCAGTCCATAAAACCTTAGAAAAATCAGTCTTGAGATATTTCTTGGCCCAGTCTTGACGTTTCAGCTTGTGTGTCTTGTTCAGTGGTGGTCGTCTTTCAGCCTTTCTTACCTTGGCCATGTCTCTGAGTATTGCACACCTTGTGCTTTTGGGCACTCCAGTGATGTTGCAGCTCTGAAATATGGCCAAACTGGTGGCAAGTGGCATCGTGGCAGCTGCACGCTTGACTTTTCTCAGTTCATGGGCAGTTATTTTGCGCCTTGGTTTTTCCACACGCTTCTTGCGACCCTGTTGACTATTTTGAATGAAACGCTTGATTGTTCGATGATCACGCTTCAGAAGCTTTGCAATTTTAAGAGTGCTGCATCCCTCTGCAAGATATCTCACTATTTTTGACTTTTCTGAGCCTGTCAAGTCCTTCTTTTGACCCATTTTGCCAAAGGAAAGGAAGTTGCCTAATAATTATGCACACCTGATATAGGGTGTTGATGTCATTAGACCACACCCCTTCTCATTACAGAGATGCACATCACCTAATATGCTTAATTGGTAGTAGGCTTTCGAGCCTATACAGCTTGGAGTAAGACAACATGCATAAAGAGGATGATGTGGTCAAAATACTCATTTGCCTAATAATTCTGCACTCTCTGTAGTGCTATTTTATGGCTCACCTGTATTTTTAGTTTTTATGTTATTCTAAGTGATTTCCCTATCCACATTTGTTTGCAGGGCACTTTTCCTACTCTTACCCCCATTGTACTTGCTTTTGCAGCTCTCTATCTCTTTCCACAAGTTTTTTAGAGGCATTTTTGTGCCCAAAAGTTCGGGTCCCAATTGTCTTCAATGGGGTTTGGGTTTGGGGTCAAGTTCGAGCCCGAACCCGGACTTTTTTTCACAGTTCGCCCGAACCCGCCAGACCCGAACATCCAGGTGTCCGCTCAACTCTGTATATGTCAAATTAAAATCCTTATTGTTCATATATATATATATATATATATATATATTATAAATAAAATATATAATATATGTTAGTGCAATAAATGAAAGAGATGCAACTTGTGGTTGAACACAAACAGGAAAAAAATGCAAACATTGCTTTTGTCCTTAAGTGTATGTCCAGCTTCTGAAGCTGCATCCTTAAAGGGTTAACATGTGTATGGCAAAACCACTGCTTATTCGTGTGTTTTCCCCTCATTGCATATTTCAACTGGTATTTCATGTACTGTACTCTGTTTCCCAGTTCGGTAGCGTTCATGGGGCATCGGCTATTTTAGTGGGCTTCATGTGCTTGGGAGACAAAGTGACTAGGTCCCGTTTCTGGCGCCTTGGCTCCCCAGCACAGAGGGTCCTGGGAGGAAAACCCCTGCGGTTTGGTGTGGAGGACCCCTTATATGTGGGTCGGGCTTTCTGTACCTGGGAGAGAGAGTGACTAGGTACAGGGGATCCTGGGATGGAAACCCCTGCTTAGTTGTATATAAGATCCTTTGCAAGGGGTTATGCATAAAAGCCGTGTGTGGCACAATAAAATCGTGTTGTACTCCCAGAGCTGTGTCTCGTCCAGTTACTGGGGGGAATGGAGGTCTGTTTAATTTCATGGTTCCAGAGGGGCTGAAGGAAGGAATTAGCTGAGATAACCGTCAGTTTACCTGTGGTCTGCTACAACATGAATAGGGAGACATAACATTTACCACTGGGCTGAGTCCCTGGTCTAACACTCTCCACAACCTTGTGATGCATGTAGTTACATAGTTACATAGTTACATAGCTGAAAAGAGACTTGCGTCCATCAAGTTCAGCCTTCCTCAGAAATGTTGTTGCTGTTGATCCAAAAGAAGGCAAAAAACCTGGTCTGAAGCACTTCCAATTTTGCCACAAACTAGGAAAAAATTCCTTCTTGACCCCAAAATAGCAGTCAGATGTCTCCTTGGATCAATCAGCTATTACCCCACTAATTAGAAATTATATCCCTGTATGTTATGTTTTTGTAAGTATTTATCCAATTTCAGTTTAAACATCTGTATGGACTCTGACAAAACCACCTCTTCAGGCAGAGAATTCCATATCCTTATTGTTCTTACTGTAAAAAAACCTTTTCTTTGCCTTAGATGAAATCTCCTTTCTTCCAGCCTAAATGTGTGACCTCGTGTCCTATGTATAACCCTGTTTATGAATAGATTTCCAGATAAAGGTTTGTACTGGCCCCGAATATATTTGTATAAAGTTATCATATCCCCTCTCAGGGGCCGTTTTTCCAAACGAAACAGATTTAATTTTTGTAACCTTTCTTCATAACTAAAATGCTCCATTCCTTTTATCAATTTTGTAGCTCGTCTCTGGACCCTCTCCAGTGCCATGATATCCTTCTTTAGAACAGGCGCCCAAAATTGCACAGCATATTCAAGGTGTGGTCTTACCAGCGATTTATAAAGAGGCAAAATTATATTTTCATCCCGAGAATTTATGCCCCTATTTATACATGACAAAATCTTACTGGCCTTAGCAACTGCAGATTGACATTGCATATTGCTGCCTAATTTGTTGTCTTACTGTACTGTATCATCTTACTGTACTTACGGAATGCCATAATAAATGGCTGTTAACTGAAAAGTTTACTTCTACCTATATTAGTTCCTTTTTCTTCGGTTCATACAGCCAATTGTTTTATTTGAAATCATTTACATGACAGTGTTAAAAGAGTTAATTCCTCTAAATCCTCTACAATATCAGGTGGCCATTTTGTAAATGTCCAATGATAATACTAAAAGTTCAAATCACTTGCACTCTGCCTGTTAATCTAGAATAATAATGCATTGAAATTCTTCAAATCAACTATTGTCACAGTTAATCTATTTTATTCTGAATTTTGCAGTTCAATTTCACAATTCACTGTTTAGTGAATAAAATCCTATGTGCTTTTCACAACCCATTACATAATAGGTAGACAAGTATATGTGATATATATATAATTTTAAAATGTAGATATACATTAATTTGATTTACAGTTGTCACATTAATCTATTAAAGTGTTAAATGTGTACATTAAATTTTTATTACTAGTATTAGTATTGTATTTAATAATTCATGTTTGATTACTTATTAAATTATATTTTCAATTATGATATATTATATTACATTTGTTATACACTTTTGAATTTGTGCTTTTATTTATTTTATAAATATTCAATGTATGTGTATATTAATGTGTGGTTTTAGATAAAGTAAATTAAATTAAACTTATCATATTTAATACAGTTAACATAGTATCGTTCAACTTTTACAATTGAAATGGTAAAAACAATATACAATTTTTCTTTAGGATTTTTTAAGAAGATTACGTAAGTTCTATAAAAGATATAGATATCTCTATAGGTTTAGTTCTTTGTACTCATCATTACATCTCTTCTCAATTCACAATCTTTTCTGTCAATAAGTTCGACTCTTGAGGATGCTGTTTGTGGATATATAATTATAGTGGCGGAACCATGACATCATATTAATTACAGTGAATTAAAATTACACAGAAAATAACCTTGTTCTTTCTTACAAGACAAAAGTTTCAGCTTTTTCCCTCCTGACATAGTAACTGAACTTTGTTCTTAACAAACTTTCATCGTGCACAATTGTAAATCTTTACAGATCTGGAAACCTGTCCATTATTTTTCATAATGTAATATGACAGCCAATTTCAAAATATAAAAAAATAATAACAATACATTGTTAAAGAGTTAGGTTATGTCATATTAAAAATTATATGTTTATTGTAAAAAAAATAGAATAAAAAAAAAATGGTGTACTTTGTATATTAATGAAGAAAACAAATGAGAATAAAGTGAATATATAAAATATTTATCATCTTTGTTAATAAAGTGTAAATTATTTTTAAATGTAATGTATATAATTTCAGTTTAAACTTTATTAAACTTTATTGAAGCACTTCATATATACAGCATTAGAGTAAAAAAAAATAAATA